CATCGAGATAAAATGAGATTTAACTGCTGCATAATATAATAAGACCCGAATAAAGATGATTCGTTGTAATCGCAAACTTGAACGTAATTTAGATATTAGCATTGATAGTGATGTTAAAATTCATGTTGAATTGACTTAACGGTTTACAACTGCCTTATTACTCAGAAATTTCATAAAGTGAATGCATTCTTTTTATGTACAACTATGCTAGTATAAATCGGATTTACTTAACTGGTTTACTAATGAGTTAATTGGTGCAGAATTTGTACGGGGCATTGACGTGGAAGAACATAACTGTTGACAACCTTCCGATGCAGCTTAGTTTGAATTTTCAATTTGCAAATCCTGATCAGTAGGACTTTGATAGGCTTACAAATTCGCATTTTCCAAGTGCAAAAAATCGTTAAGATAAGATATATACGATTCATTTGGATTGACCTAGTGAAAACAACTGTAAACTTGATATGATTTTAACTGCAATTTCATTTCAACCATCCATTTTATGGAATAAATAAACCAACATAATCAGCATCAAAATTTATTTAAATGTCCCCACTTATTTTGAACGGTCTTAAGGATTAAGCTAAAGATCTTATTTGTGCTCAAAGGATTATTTGCAAGCTTGGTTTTAATGACTCGTGTTAAATGGAATAAGTTAGTATTTAAGTTAATACCTATAAATTTAAGAAGTTGGAATTCTCTACTGCAATTGTCACGCATCTCATGTGGTCATTGAAAAGAAAAGTACGTGCAAACAGCTTCAGGCGAAAACTTCCTAAACCTTCGTAATGATAAAACTTTATTAGGTGTTTATTCGGCAGCCGATTAATTTCAAGGCTGCACTCCGGAAACTAAAAAGCTTGAGAACGTTAAAACCCCGCAGCCACCAAAAATTATGCGCCCAAAATCCTGACTTGAAGTATAATGTGCTACTTGATCTAGTCAATATTTGGACATAAGTAAGCTCATTTTAATAGTTAAACCGATTTTCGAACACCCAAGCAACGGTTTAAAATTTAGCCATCTAAATCGAAAAAGATGAATTTGTTATATTTTTATTCATTTGATATTCATTTATACGCAAATGAATAAGTAGTGGTAGTGCATTTTAATTTTGCTTCAGAATACTCTTTGTTGTTGAATCCGCTTTTGTAACAACATAAAAAAATTAAAAGCACAATAATAAAACAGAAAAATACATTGATCATTTCAAATGACAGGCTTTATGATATTTATCATTGGCCTCATAGTTGATTTCAGCTTTCCCCATGAGCATGAAGGTATATATAAAACTGTTCTTTAGCTGTCATCTGGCTTCCCAGTATCTCTGTGTTTTCGTCATTATCTTTATAGCTGGACACCGAATCAGGTGGGTCTTCTCAATTTCCTCCTACAGTTTACATAGAAAACATGTTGGTTCAGTGTTTACCCTTAATCTAAGTAGGTGCTTTAACAGGCAATCTTGTGCGGTACGTAGTCTAAACTCAGCAACGGCTTCGATTGTTGGCCAGTTTTTATATCAGAGAGTGCCACTGGCTATTATTTCACCTTTGTTCGAGCTTTAAGTTTGTTGCACGTTAAATTCCCTCTTGAATAAGGTCTTCATGGTGTGGAAAACATCGGCCGGTCTATGCTTTGCTTAATTGCTGTAACCTTCTGAAAAAGTGCGTCAGCAAGCTAATTGCCTTTAATGCCATAGTGACCAGGAATCCATTGTAGGATCACTGTTTCGTTTTTTACTCTCAGCAACTAATACAGTTTTTGCATTCGTATATTTCAGCTGCTTTGGGTTGCTCTTTGCTTCCATTTAAGATTATTGCTGACATTGTGGACGAAGGAATTACTGCTTTTAGTGAATTTAGCATCGAGGCAACATAATTTACCTAGTATTTTTGCAATGGCCCCAATTTTCCTTTCGAAGGCGGATCTACAGTGTCATGCAGCTGCAAAGAAAGTGAATAGTTGAGAGGAAGCATTTACACTAAGGTTTGTTCGCCTCATCAGTGAAAACTTCAGGCCATTGATCTGCATGACAGTTCACATTGATTGCCCCAATCGGCCAGTGAGTGCATTTGTTCTGAAGAAGTGTTTACTTTTCTGAAGTGGCCAACCAGTTGGAGGCAACACATTTTTGAAACACTATTCTGTCCTCCCCTCTCGATTTTTTTCCAATTTGATGTTCCTTTCCCTCTGTGAAGACTGAAGTCAACTAAAGTGCTAATTTTAACCATCAAGACGCCTCCCATTTGATATAAATTAATAAATAAAATAAATACATAAAAGCTTGTTTGTGTGCCTTTTCGAGTTGTTTGAGACTCACCTCTGTGGGTATAATGAGTGGCTCAGGGCCCCGCAACATTACTGGCATAATTAACATCCTATAATTGGTGTTTGATGTTGATAATGCACAGTCCCATACACTATCAGTAAGACGCTTCAATGCATTAAGTCGATATGAGATTCGTTCTGCTTTTTAAGCAATGTGATTTTAACATGTTAGCTTTGTGTCAAACAACATTCCGAGATAAGTGAACTCGTTGGATTTTTCCATGGTAGTATCCTTGTACCTTAGAAGTTGGTTTATGCTGTGACGGGCCAAAGAAAATGTTTGGAATGTAGTTTTTGTGGTGTTGATAAGCATTCTGTTGTTGTTGCTCCAGTTCGCTAAAAATTTAAGAGCATAATTTAGAACACTTACTGTCATCTCCGGAGAGCTTCTCTTATTAGCAGAATACCATAGAACAAGATCATCTGCATAAAGTAAGCCCGGAATACCATAGAACTAGATCATCTGCATAAAGTAAGCAGATCATTCAGTATTTCAATAGATTATTAGAGAAAGGATTGGCTTACAACTGAAAAGCATTGATGATATATTTTGCGATTTAGCTGACAACCATAGGCAATTGAAAAAGTAANGCTAAAAATTTAAGAGCATAATTTAGAACACTTACTGTCATCTCCGGAGAGCTTCTCTTATTAGCAGAATACCATAGAACAAGATCATCTGCATAAAGTAAGCACTGGAAAAGAAAAAGAAGAAAAAGAAGGCCTCACATCACATTACGATCTAATTAAGAATATGGGCTTGGAGCAAGACATATGCGAAACAATCAGATTAAATGTTTTGATATATTAGGTTGGCAACTAAGTCAATGCCGATTTCAAATAAGAAGGCAAATTCGGAATTTTTGTTTAAAAATATCACTTTATTCAATTTGATATTGGCCCTTCTTGTTGATGACCTTTTTCCATCGTTCTGGCAGAGTAAAAATTCCCCGTTCGTAAAATGTCTGATCTTTGCTATTAAAAACGGAATTAGTTGTGATCCGACATCATCCGCGTTGTTAAAAATTTTACCATTTAAAGAGTTTTGCATGGAGCGAAGCAAATGGTAATCCGAAGGCGCAAGGTCAGGGCTATATGTTGGGTGAGACAAAACATCCCAACTCAGTTCCAATAATTTTTGCCGAGTAACCAAAGATGTGTGGGCCTTGCGTTTTCATGATGGAATCAACACCCTTCCGATTTGATAATGCCGGCCGCTTATCTTCAATTGCATCCTTCAGTTTTTCGAGTTCTTCAACATACACATTTGAATTTATCGTTTGGTTCTGCGACATGAGTTCAAAATACAAAATTCCTTTGTGATCCCACCAGACTGACAGCATAATCTTTTTTGGTGAATCTCTGCTGCTTTTCATACTGTTTGGGCTGGTTGATCTTGCTTCACCCATGATCTCTTGCGAGTAACATTGTTATAAACTATCCACTTTCCGTCGCCAGTAACTAGGTTCTTCAGAAATGGATCATTCTCATTGCGTTTCAGTAGCGTCAAATCACAGATGCTAATCCGTTGCGTCAAATGAATTTCCTTTAACTAGTGAGGGATCCATAAATCAAGTTTTCTGACATAACCAAGGGTTTTTAATTTTTTTTCAATGCATGTATGCGACACATTGAGCTTCTCTGCAATATCTCGTCTTGTTCTCTGACGATTTGAATCTATAATGGCCTTGATATGGGTTTCATCCACTTCGACTGGGCGGCCAGATTGTTGTGAATTGTTCAGTGAAAAATCACCTGAACGAAATCTTTCAAACCAATTTCGACACTGTCTTTCTTTTAAGGCTTCATCTTCATATACGGCACATAACTTCTTTTGTGCTTGCGATGCGTTCTTGCCTTTTTGGAAGTAATACAATAAAATGTGTTGGAATTGCACGTCCTGTTCTTTCATTTTTAAATTGGAATAAAAACAAAACTAAAGAACTAAACAAAAAATTTTTTCTACTAATTAGTAAGAAAAAAATATAGGTTAGATGCTCTGGCTACGTTAACAAAACAAAAGAAAGTAAAGAGTGAATCTGTCAGCTAAAACACCAATGACTTAGTTGCCAACTCAATAATTAAGAATATGGGCTTGGAGCAAGATATATGCGAAATAATCAGATTAAATGTTTTGAAATGTCAAAACCACTTTAAGATATACCCAGTGTATAATCCACCCCAGAATAGGCCAAAATTTTATCGTCTGAAAATCGCACACCAAACTGAGGTATAAGGAGACTTCAACACCCATTCAACCAGATGGAGCTATAAGAATATGAACATAGGTGGAAAGGAAATAGAATACATGCTTAACAACAGCCATCTAGAACTTATTTACAGCAATGAGGCTACTGCTAAATATCAGCACTACAATGGAACCAGAACAACCCTTGACATACTCCTGGCATCAAGCCACGATCTCGGTTCTGGTCACAAACCAGTCACTGCTAATATTGCCATCGACTGCCAAAGCATGACAACGAAAGTGTCAACTTAGTAATCATGGAACATCAAGAAGGCTGATTTTCCTAAATTCACACAGCTTTTTAGACAAGGAACTTCACGCAAGTCTCCTCAACATCAACCAACATCCTAACATATCTCGCAACGAATTCAGGAATATCAAGGTAAGAGGTGTCTTATCTGTGTATGCGAGTCATGTGCAGTAGGCTCTGAGGCGTAAGATTATAAAGCACGCATTTTCTCTTCCAGTAAAGTGACAACGTGCCCTCGCCTATGGGTGGAATTTCCTCCCGTTTCCACTCTCTCATGATGATATTCTCTCTCCACCAGAAAGGCTACCTGCCCTGCCTCCAGACAGTAAGAGCCATTGAAATTGATCACAGCCTTCTTCACTTTCCATCTATCCACACATCTATTCATCCCCCTCGTCAATCTATCCATATGTAGTAAATTGGTTTGCTTTCACAATCACATTCTCGCTCTTGTAGATCTATGTTGGCTTTAGACTGACAGGGATGTTGTCGTTAGTCGTCATTCCTCCTAATGAAGCTTCTTATAAACACTCCACCACCACCACTAACATCACAACCTCGTACTTTCTTACTTCCTTACTTACTTACTCACTCACTTGGTCACTTACCTGCTTATTTGCTTACTTAGAAGAGTATGTGGAAAGCCCCACTGAGAGGAAAGCAGTGTTACACTTATGGCTGGCCTTCCTCCAATTCTACCTCTTCAAGTTCGATTCCCTCAAACACAAAGTCTCCATTGATTCGTCAAACCTCGTGGGAAACACCAGCCCCCTCCCCCCGCAGTCATACATATAATGGGTAGGGAGTAGGGTGAGATGTGCAAACAATTTGTGGCTGGGTGTTTTCTCATTTTAAATCTTGCCTTGTAGACCCCTTCGATACTTCTCACATGTTGACGCTTTTCAACAAAATCTGGGAGACCAGTCTCGTACCTAGCCAATGAAACGTTGCCATAGTAATACCAGTACAAAAATGGACAAGGACCCTAGCAACTTTAACAACTATAGGCCTATCTCCCTCTCAATCGTGCTGGCTAAACGAGTGGTAATATAAATAATGTACAATGATCAAATAAATTATCCCACGTGGAAACTAGTTTGAAAACTTGTTGCCATGTAAACAAGCGTATTTCACGAAATTAATGTTATACACAAATCGTACTAGTGCATAAATACCGAGCAGTTCCTTATCGATTTTTAATCAATGCACGTTTGAAAAACAGATTTACTCAATGAAAATCTCATTTGGAAATGATGAACGTGAAATTCCAAACGATAATTACTGCGTCCAAAATTTCTAGTCCAATTGATTCATTAATTTTACAGGCGAAGTATTTCTGCATGTAACTTTTTGATTTTTAAATCTTGATAATTTAACTTTTCGATTCTTCTACCTTCTTAATGAACAACTTTGATTCATTCACATACTTCTCAAATGTGAAAAAGTTATCAATGTTAGATATTTCGAACTTAAAGCTCAAACAAATGAGAAACGGTGTACAGTGGCACACTCCGACATAGGCGATTGGTCAAGAATAGAAGCCGTTGATGAGTATAGACTACGTACCGGACAAGATGGCATGTCAAAGTACCTTCATAGATTAGAAGAAAGCACTCAATCAACGTGCATCCTACGTAAACTACAAGAGAAAATTGGAATGACCCACCTTATTTGGTGTCCAAGTAAAAAGATAAAGACGAAAACGGCGAGATACTGGGAAGAGAGAAGGCAACTAATATACTACTATAAAAGAATTTTTTTCACCCATGGGGAAAGCTGAAATCAACAATTATAGGCCAATCATAAATATCATAAAGCCTGCCATCTGAAATTAAAATTATATATTTTTTTTCATTTTGTTGTTATGCTTTTAAATGTTTGCGTTGTTACAAAAGCAGATCCAACAACGATGGGTATTCTGAAGCATATATAAAATGGACTACCACCACTTATTCATTTAAGTATAAGTGAATATCAAATAATTAAAATTATAACCAATTCCCTTTTTTTTTGATTCAAAACGCTAAATTTTAAAGTAATGCTTTGTTGTTGAAAAATCGGTTAGACATTTAAAAGAACCTTACTATTTTGTAAATATTGACTAGCTCAAATGGCACATTATACTTCAAGGGAGGATTTCGGGAGCATAATTTTTGGTGGCAGCGGGGTTTAAACGTGATCTCTTTTTAGTTTCCGGAGTGCAGCCTTGAAATTAATCGACTGCCGAATAGTCACTCAATTGATTATTGTTATTAAGAGGCATTATGAGGGTTTAGGATGTTTGCGCTTGAAGCTGTTTGCATGCGATTTTCACTTCAATGACCACATGAGATGCATTATAATGGCAGTAGAAAATTTCATTTTCTTATTTCAATGTAATTTTCTTGAATAATTATTTACTCTATTTGTTACGAGTCATTAAAATCAAGATTAAAATTAATCATTTTCGCACAAATATGATCTAATGTCGAAATGAAAAATGCATTTAGTGAAAGCGTGAATGTTGTTTCCATTTCAACAGTGAACAGTGGGGGCGTTATTTATAGAGAGCGTTCCATAAATTCGAAGTAGTATTGTGCATTTTTGTAAGCTTTGGCTTTGATTCTTGTTGCAGAAATATATTGCTGCATTAACAGAAACGAGTTAACGTACACTTTATTCCATCGGATTTTTACCCTGCACCTATTGCACCCTAAGCGAGTATCAAACACCAAGACCACCAGGCTGGCATATTCCAACAGCAACAATAAAAATGCCATCAATTCCAATGACGTAGCTTTCTGCCATGGCGACCTATTTGAATCGGCTAACAAATGCGTTCAGAAAATGCATCTCTGGTATTATTTTTAAGGCCAATTTTTAAGAATAACATTTGTTTTAATAATAGGAATATCAATATTAAGCAATATTTAGCCATTAATGCCTAAAGGTAGAAGATTAGATTTAACGAGATCACTTCAATGTCTGGCTACACATGATCTTTGTGAAAAATATGGCCATTGACGTCTTCAAATAAGTAAATTAGAATAAATTTCCACAAAACAATTTCTCACAATTGGCAATAATAGCCTATTTTTCAGTAAAGTCACCCTAAAAATTGCCTACATATTTTGAGCAATTATGCACAACTAGTAATTTGTTCAAAACGCGCCTTGAATTGTATCTTGTTTGATAATGTTGTTAACGTACAGTTTAATCATATCTCGCCTCACAAAATTCTCAAATCCTAACTTCTGTATAAATGGTTTTTCAAGAAGGATTGCTTTCCGGTAAGGAAGTACTGGCATATCGACAACGTATCTGATATTACCATATTACCTTTATTCAAATTTTGTATTATTCGAGACTGCAATTTTCACATCTTGATAGAAAAGGAGATCTGCGTAAAATTTTCTTGTTACAAATTTCAGCAGCCAATTTGAGAAACGGCTGCATGCATGAGAATTTAACTGTTGCATCCAAATCCAACCTTTTACAAACAGGTCCTTCACAGGAAGTTGTCACAAGTTGTACTCTCTCAATATCTTCATCAATGACAGCCGAACTGGTACAGAGTGTCACAGGCATCAGGTGCTTACTTTATGCAGATGGTCTTGTTCTATTGTATTCCGCCCCTAAGAACAACCCTCAAAAGAAGACGGAAAGTGTTCTAAATTATGCACTCAAACTAATAGTAAGCCGATGCAACAGCAACGGAATGCTTATCAACACCACGAAAACTGCATTCCAAACATTTTCTTTGGCCTGTCACAGCATAAACCCGCTTCTAAAGTATATGGATACTACCCAAGAAAACCAACGAGCTAACTTATCTCGAAATTACGTATATATATATATATATATATATATTTCACGGCAATATATTTAGAGAACAGGAAAACACCAGTTTAACGAGTGCATCAGCAGCAAAATTGAAGAAAACAAACGATGAAGAAGTAATTATAAATAATAATTACGGCTGCTATGTTTTGGAGTTTTTCACGATCTTCCAGCAATTTCTACGTTTTTTCGTTAATTACATACAACAACAAGATTATATTTTCAAGAACGGCTCAACGCGGACTCGCGTTCAAAATTGCTTTACAATGCAGTTGCAATAGTCTACGCTGCATTCTATCATGTCTATTCGTTGACAAATCCTTCGAAGTTTATCATCAGAAGAGTTATTGACTTGATGTCTGGGTTCAGAAACTCAAAATCGACATGAGTCTCTAAATTCGCTGATATGGTCTTTCGCTCCAAAGCATATCCATTTTGGGTCTCCGATCATTGAAATTGCAACATTTTTTACAGTGTGTATTTTTAATGAAGGTTTTATACCGATAACTGTTTTTTGGAATTTTTTACCCACGATTTCTCAGGTTTTGCGAACCAATTTACTTGAAAGTTTAAGAGAGTGTTATTTAGGAACTTGTCTTTGTCCGGAACTACGGACATCTCCAAATTTTCATTTATACTATTTTTTAAAAAATTGAAGAATGTTCAAAAAGTGGTACAACAGTTTTTTCTTTAGACAGTCATCATTTTGTTAAAATATTTCTGGAACTTTGCCGTATTTCCATACATAGGGAAATAATCGTAGATTGATAATCTTTTCTTATTTTCATTTTAGATTGCTAGGAGAGTTAAAATCGTGGGTATAGTCACGCAACATATTTTTAAGGCGCCTCATTCCATCAGCTGATAACTAACGAAGATTAACATTTTTGCATTTTTATTTTTTTTGAATGCTTCTTATGTGATTAAATAATGTAAGAATATTTATTATCAAAATATTGCTTATTTTTTACAGCACTTCAAAAAGTATCTAAAATTCATGTCACTAAACAAGAATATCCCCTGAAGAGTTCGAAATCGTAAAAATAAATGAACTTTTACATCATCGTTTCTATATTTGAACAAATTAGCTTTCAAATATTCTTAATTTGGTTTTAATTTCTTTACTAGATATATTGAAATAAGTGACAATTATTGTTGTGCTGACTAAATTTTAAGTAAAAGAGGATAGAAATTTTGCTTTCCCCAATTACATTCATAGACACTTAAATATTAAAGTTAAATCAATAATCGACACATCATTCTTCCCAATCAAGCCTGTTGGAGCAAAGAGGCCAAGTATCAAGTTAAGAAATATCGATTTTTTGGCGACAATGGGCAAATAATTTGAATAGATGAATTCATGAAAATGGTAAATAAATAAATAATAAACTAATATTTCAAAAAATGCCACGGCAATAAGTTAAAAACAAAATATTGCATTTCAATTATTCATTGCATTTTAGTGTGATTCAGTCTAGTAACGCAATCTTTTTTAATAGAGAATTCCTCTTTTACATCTTTGAATATCTTTTCTGCTCCCATCCCAAATTTTTCTCACTTTGATGGTCTCTCCCCTCAGTGTAGCCTGAAGCCAACTAAATGGTTAATGAAAACCAACAAAACGATTCCCATTTGATATAAATTAATAAATGCTCCCATGTAATGATAGGCAGATAGATTGGCCAAGGTCATCTAAATTTAATTAAATGATCCGAATTATGTAAACACTTTCACACACTAGGCGCAAAGGATTCTTCTCAAGTTTGAACTTAATGACTCGTGTCAAATTGAAGAAATTGGTTATTCAAAATAATGCCTTTGAAATAAGAAGTTGGAATTCTCTAACACCATTGTTACCCATCTAATGTAGTCATTGAAATGACAATCACATAAAAACAGCTTCAAGCAAAACCATCCTAAACCCACATAATGCCTTCGAGTGTCAACACTTTATTAGGTTTTATATTTGAAGTAATTCAATCTGTAAAGTGTGAGTAGTGGTGAAATTTACTTGACCAAGTCAAATTTTACTTAAATGAGTAAGTACTATCAATCCTCAGTTCTAATCCTTTATTTATTTATTTATATCAAATGGCAGGTATTTTGCTAGTTACCATTAGCCCTTTATTTGACTTCAGGCTTCACGGGGGAGGAGAAACAACAAAGTGAAATAACGTGCAACGCCATTTGGCAAAAATGTGCAGATAGCCATAGAAAGAGGATTAAAGTAATATGTGAATGAAATTATTATAAAATATTAAAAAAACGGGTTTCATATTCAGGCATAATCGAAATTCAGATGATGAGGAATATTTAAAAAAATATTTTTTTTATTTAAAAAACGAGATCATCAATTCATTTCTTGAACTCCGATTAAATTTAAAATCAGTTGGACATTCAACTCTCAATCTCTTGCCAATATCGCGCATGTAGAGGTTTCGAATTCATTTCAATGAAAATATGGATGTGAGTAGGCATTCAAATCTTTTGATTAGAGTATTTTAAATGTTCCCAATCAATTGCCTATTAGTAAAGTTGCAAGCATGCTTAAATATCTGTCCACTTTGCTACTCATGAGTTACACAAGAGTTATCGAAAGTTCTATTTTCCCGTTTCAATGCCTTTGACATTCGACGACACAATTGTTACCACTTAACTGGCTTTATGTTTCATGACGTGCATTCAATATGGCTTCGAGTGTCCACTAATCAATGCTCACTGCCATACCTCTTCCATTTTCTCTGAAATCCCTCAAAAGTCTCTTTGTGCATTTTGAAGTTTAACATGACTGCAATTGTCGATGTTTTCTCAGAAGTGCCACCTTCTCGTTTCGAGGAGGAGCGAGGGAGTTGAGACACAGTGCTCCACATTCCACTTCCTCTTTAGTCTCATTCAGCATAGGATTCAATATAAGAGGGCGCATGCTCAGGATAAATGACATTCCATAATTAGATTTATTAATTCGTCATCTTCTATTCATTGTAATTTCTTTTTTTGATGGTTTATGTGCATTGGTTTATTTTCAATAATTGATAAAATATGTCCTCTTTCCCCAGAACAGTTGCCTATATCCATGGCAAAAAAGCTTTACCCAACTCAACAAAACCTAAATTACCCGTAATGCGCGCAACAGCCAATATTGCTTATAACAATAATCTTTATAATAATAATGGAAGTAAATTCAAATAATTCTCCGATTGGCTAAACACGTCATCATCAAACAGTTAAACTTAAATTTTACTTCAATGTTGCGCAATGTTGAAACAACTCCGACACATTCAGCGTGATATATCATTGAGCAAATCTGAAATGTCATGTCCTCCAATCCATATGAAACCTACATTAAGCTTAAAATGATAATACTTACAAAACGACTTTTGAAAGGAACTGCATGTCCATCAATCAATTTTGTGTTACCCTCACGAAGTTAGTTCACTCCTCAATTGGCATGAGACAACTCTTTTAATTATTAACAAAAACCCCATGAACTTCACTACATAACTTAGATAAAAAATGTTGCATTAATGATGCTTTATGAGATCGTATTGACACAAGTGTTTTGGCTATAATCACACAAGAGGGAAAGGCATTATATTGATAAGAAATATAAGCAAGCTGCATATAATTTATCTCTAATTGGATAAAGATATCAACAAAAAAGAAATGTGGTACAGTTGTAGATGGAAGGCAGTATTAAATCACAGAGTGAAGTCAATTCGTTGGATAGTGAAAGTCCTGCAAATAAAATGTAGTCATTCGTAAAATCATAGAGTAGATTATCGAAATTGCTGTTCCCCCTCAAGGTGACATGTAATGAATTTGAAATTTGTAGTGACATCTAATCACCAGCATGTTAGGAGATCAAAATGCATTGATTGATTTTGGATGTGATGCTTCACAAAGCCATGACAGTATGTTGTGCTGTGGTTGAAGCAGTAAGAAAGCTCCAACCAGAATTACTATTTAACTATCTACCCTATTCCTTACTAGATGATAAAAGAACCAGTGCCTTGAACCCCACCGCAAAGCTACAACGACTTGTCTGTGGGATGGGCATAGACACTTTGCTGGAAGCTCGGCCGATTCACCACTTCACTGGTCTTCAAATTGAAGAATGTTGTACGAACTGGAGGGAATCGATCTTTGTGTCTCAGATTGAGACCGTGGAAGAAGGTGGTGTGAAGGATTGTGAAGCGAAGAGGCCAATGCTCTCGAGTGCGAATAGGCAAAAGATGGGCAATTGCACAACAGCCTCCACCTCTACGATTTATCAAGTATGTTTGGAGACTAAGTCAAAACCAATCCGCCTTCTACCACAATTCAGCACTATATTTATGGTGGAAGTCTTAACATCTTATGCAATGCGATGTTCAAGACGTGCTCGATTGCAAATAGAGATTTGAACTCCTCTCTTCTTCCCATGACGGGAAAGTGAAGAAGGTTGTGGTCAATTTCAATGGCTCTTACTGTCTGGAGTCAGGGCTGGTAGCCTTTCTGTTGGAGATCGAAAATCATCATGAGAGAGTGGACATGGGATGAAATTGCACCCTGAAAGTGAAAATGCGTGGTTTACATTCTCACGCTTCAGAGCCCATTGCACATGCCTCGCATACACAAAAATTACATCTCTTACCATGATGATTTTCTTCAGAATCACGACCAGACTCATTAACAGTGGCTCGTACTAAGTATACTCATTGAGTATGACGGTATTTCGAAGTGCCTTGGAAGAAAGGGAATAAGCGAAGTGAGGTGAGGTGAGTTAAGGTAAAGAAAGGCAAGGAGAGATGAGGCTACTGAGTACACAGTTGACACTTGTCACCCCTAATTACGACATTCAACTCACCAAATGATTGGAGAAGCTCAAGTCGACTGCGAATTGGTGCTTATAGGATTTGAATTTCACTATTCTCACCCTCGCATAAGGAAATGCTTTAATGTCTTTAATCTTCAAATTCTTCTTATTATTTATCAGCTTTGAGGAGATTTCCATGAGCAGCTACAGAGGGAAAATGGCAAGTGGGCTGAGGAAAAGAATCGGTGGAGTAGACTTGCCTCAATTTGATCACCTTTTGCTCCATAACTCTAAATGTTTGCCTCTCGGCTACCTTCGGCAAACACCATTGTGAGATCCAGATCACTGGATTCTGTTGCAAAGCCATTCGTCAAGGAGCCAAACAACTCCAACCTGGATCCCGGATACTCCTTTTGAAGGAATCGCCTCAAATCGGTGATAAACACCTTCTACAATTGAAGAAGTGAAGAGGAGATAAGAAGAAGGAGACAAAGCTGATTCCGCTACATTTCAGGCATTCACTTAGGTGCTGGGGAATTTGCCGCAGTGACAACTGCAATGTCTTAATCTTACCCTACCATGACTCACAAGATGGTTAGCATTGTGCCTGCCTGTCTATCTGCACGGCTATATGTGATTGAAATCTAGGAGTGGCTTTACCTAAGAGTTCTACCAAGTGCTCTCCAGTAACAGTGACTGCATCACCAACGTACGAAATGAACGGGAACAAATAAGTATTATAAGAACCAAATCGACTAAAGGTTCAGTTACATCTTGTGCGTGAATATGAAGTCATTTATAGCGTAGTGATTCAATTGAGCCACTCGACTTACCCTTATTGCGATGGTTCTGTCAGAAGGCTTCTGAAAAGTCCTCGAACACATCAGCCAACAATTAGAGATGTAGGCTGTAGTGCAATTGTGGAAGACTCTTCTTCATCTCTTGCTTATATGCAAGTGACACCATTGGCCGCTCCGCAAGAAGGTCGCCGCCAAGGTCTTCTTTCAGGAAATCATCATTAGAAATTGTTTCTCATGGCATTAGTACATGTTGGAAAGTGAAATGGAGCTAGTGAACAACAAGTTTGCCCTTCACTACTTCTCACCATTTCTCCTCACATGGATCAATTGAGAATTCTCAATACTGCTGGACGGCGAGCGCCTCATTAGTAATGGCAGTCATTAGCAATTTCTAGACACATTTTGGTACCCGAGTTGCAATCTCAATGCTGTCCCTTTCTATATGCAGAGATCATCTTTGGCATTCGTACAGATCAAATGGAGTACGACTTATATCCACCACTTTCCATTCAATATGGAAGGCCTGCAATGTGTCCGCAACATTTTCATGAGGGTCAACGAATAATGACTTGGTCGCCAAATGCTATCTCAAAAGTGAATTAAAGGAACTCCTCATGGTGCAGATTTCCTGGCATCTTACTTTCAATCTTCCCACCTTTCACATCAATTGGCACAACATCCACATATGCATGTACGGTCTACCAATAAACACCAATAAACGTGTATTGCAAATGAAATGCAAAGAGACTTGTTACTTACCTTTTTGCTCTTATCACTCTTGTTCGGTGCCATCTGAGGTCTTCAATTGTTAGCTCCAAAAGCATGTATCACAGATCATCAACACGTTAGGATAAATTGAAGTGGAGAAGAAGGAAAAGACAGACTTTCGTGGGATATTGAAACAAGAGCAACACATTTTCAGATGAAACCAAATTGAGTTTGTGATCGAGTGCAGAAGAGTTTGCATAATACTTTTCAACTTGCCTTAAGAGTGAAACCAGCCAGAAAATCGAGTCTGTGCAATTTTGAAATTCCTCACTTTAATCAATTTAAACAATTTTGCAATATTAAAAACTGTTTAATTTTTAATGAGCTATAGAGATAACAAGCCAGAAAATCGAGTCCGTGCAATTTTCCACTTCCGCTAATTTAAACAATTTTTATAACAATATTTGAAACTGTTCCATTGTTAGTGAGCTGCAAAAAAAGAGAACATATTTATATGTTAATTTTTTAACTATTTTCATTATAACATTTATTATTTTGTGACCTTTTGCCTCTGTCCATGTGACAATCACTCGGCACCAAAATTCTTCAGCTGATGCTATTGCCAATCTTACAATTGTTGCCTCACCTCAAGTTTTTGTGTAGTGGAAATGAACTTGAAGAACCATTTAATCACCAATTAATTCAAATTCAAATGCCTTACATTCACTTCCCCAGTGGTGATTCCTGGTATTATAATCGTGACTTGAGTTATCTTTCATTTTAATTATTCATTGAATTCAATGTCTGCATATTTTTTAAAATGTATTTTATAATTTAATAAATGAATAAATAAATCCGTGATTAATAGTATATCCGGTTCAGATGTTGATCTAAGTGATGTAATGCAAACGGCAATTCTAATTGATTTGATTAGTAATCAGCGCAATACTATTTACATCATGACTTCGAAAAAGTTGTTGTTGTGTGGCATGGTATTATTTTCGAATACTGGAATTTGGCCCAACTCAACTTATCAAAGAATGAACGCAAAATATAGTGACCTTACTTGGGTAACCTAATGAATAGGCTGCCTGTTTTGCTATTTTTAATGCTTCGATCTTTCAATATTTACTCTTTAATTGAAGGTAATATGTTCCGTATGGCGACTCAGCGCTAAACTGTGTGTGAGTCTTTGTTAATTGGCTGGGCAAGTTATTGGGGTTTACGAGATGATGTATAACTTTGCGATTACTTTTACTTATACGAAGGGTTAGGTTTTTACTGCTCATGTCGTGTTAGTATAAATTAGCAAATGAGCATTGTAAAAAATTATGTAATTGACTCGTAGAAAATGGAAATACATATCTACAGGAGCCGAACTTCGTAGCATGAACTAGTTAACTCTACTAGAAACATCACTGGATTCACAGGAACACATCTGCATTTGTAAGAAACTAATTTGAGGATGAATTATTTTCATGATAAAAGTAATTATGGGAAATATTTAGTTATATCTACTGCTTAAATGAGGATTTGTTGTGAAAATTGAATGCTCAAAGGAATAGCTGTCATTGTGTCTTGATTATGTTTGTTTAAGTGAAAGGAAACCTGGCATCACATTTGACATATTGTTCAGGAAATTAAATTCTCAATCTGAATGCTAGGTGGATGCAAAACAATTTCTGTGACGATTGCATCAAGAAGTTGTGCGAAGCTAAACGAACCTGTCCTCTTGACCGCACACCATTTGACTCAATCAATATACTACACGAAATGGGGGGATGCAGTTGTGGAAGAGGTTTGTTTAGACGTTCACTTTTAAATAGTATAACATTTTTGGAAAAGCTTAAAACACGGAGGTTGATACAACACAATTGTCCTTACATTGACGACGCCGACGGCAGCGGCGATGTCGACAGCGACGAGGCCTAAGAGATCTTCGATGACAATTAGTTTCTTTTCGCTTCATCTGAAGTTGGGGAACTTATCCGTTCATTGAGGTTCTTATATGTTCATCAAGAAATGCACCTAGAAAGATATTGAACTCCTTTTCATACACTTTTCAACTGTGTTGATTTATTTCCCCTCCCCTACACCCCCTCCTCCCACCACTTCTTTTGAACTTCGCATGTTACCGCGAACGAGAGAGGCATTTTGGAATTATAATAAATGGTGGATTATTCGGAAGGCTTCTGCTCCACATTGGTCCCATTAATTTACTACTCTTTCTTCTCATTATCATTGTTCTTGTTGTTATAGTTAACATGAATAAAGTTAACTACTCACCTTACTTCGTCTGTGCAAACTCATGTGTTCTCTTTACTGTGTAAAAGTTGATGGATAATGAGGTCACAATTTACGATAATCAATATTCAACTCTTGGGGTGCGCGATAGACGTACCTCCACGTGGTGCACCCTGGACAACGTATCTTCGTACGGCAAACAAGTCTATCACTCGGCATTCGATTTTTAATTCGTTTTATGACGATAAGCTTGAAAAATGGCTATAAGAAAAATTGCCCTCGTCAGGGCGAATCACAACGTCTTCAGATCCTCCAGTGAAATGCTGAAGGAATTTCTCCGGACAAAAAGATCCAAGTACAGAAAATCCTACAAATCTATGATGTAGACATTTTCACAATTATGGAAGCCAAAATTTCGGATGACAAACTGAAGTACTACTAATTCCCAGGTTACACCCTGTACAATCTACATAAATATCTGCAAGTTGCAAGTGGAATTCTAACTGGAGTAAAAGAAGGCCTCACCTCACACTACGATCTAATCAAGA